TATATATAATTTTAAAATAATTATATTTTATTTTATAATAGATTTTTAATATGTATATATTTATTTAAAAATTATATATTTCATATACATATTTTAGCATTACATTAATTAAATATAATCAATAATACTTTATCATACAGCACTAATTTATTTATATTTTATTTAAATTTTTATAAAAATATTTTATACATTGATTCGAATTAATGAAACGAAGTATCAGATGATTTTTAAATTTTCTAAAAATTTGCAGATTTGATCTATGTATTAAGAACTTTAAATTGAACGGTTGGATCGTTGAAATTAGATGTAGAACATGAGTTATTGAACGGAGTAAGTCTAGGTAAACTTACTCCTAGAGTAAAAGGATCCTTCCTCTATATATATACATATATATATATATATATATATATGTGTGTGTGTGTGTGTGTGTGTGTGCGCGCGTGTGTGTATGTATGTATGTGTATATGTTTAAATTTTTTAAGGGGAAAAGTGTTTATAAGAAGGGAGGGCAATGTAATATTTACATCTCCAAGGGCATGTTAATGTAAAGAATGTTTTGGTAATACTTTTTTTTTTTGTAATGGAAGTTAACAAAATTTTAGCAAAAATTTAAAAAATGAGTAAAATTTTATACATTAGAATTTGTTGAGGGAAGGGACCGTAACTTTTAGCATAAAAAGGAAAGGTAGTGTAATTTTGTATCTCTCAAGAGAGAAGAATGTAATTTACTCAAAAATATAAATTTAGGGATTTTCAATGTTATTAATTAAATTAAACAAATTTTTAATTATAATGAATTAAGTAATTAATTCTTATTAAAAAAATAGAAGGAGAATTTACAATTGATTAAATTACACTGAAATTTTACATGGTTAAAACAAACAACTCATGAATTCATCATTGGGGGTTCAGTAGCAACAATTACATCATAACCATAGAAAACGTAAACTAGCTAGACATGCTGCTAGAACCCATGAAATAGAGGAAAAGAAATAATCGTAATTGATTCTCTGAGGGTTTGGGTTTTAGTTTCTTACAGAATCTCAATAATGACTACAAGAAAGCAAAAAATATGAGAAAATAAAGTCAAAAGTTGGATAATTAAAACTTGGATAATAAAAGAAGTGAAATATTGTCAAAGACTTAAAAATAAATCAAGAAAAAACAACAATAAATATCATATTATTATACAACATTTTGACAGTTTTAACACTTGTGGCATTGGCTCATTTACACTCTTAGTGAAAATCATATAAAAAGTAAGTCTCGAGCAATCAAAAAATTAAAAATTTAATATCAATTTCTTTTTCGGTTGCTTGTAGAGCTCACTTTCTACATTTTTATTATTATGGTTAAGGTCATTTCTGATTTAGATATTAATTAAAAATTTAAAATTAAATATAATTCTTACATTTAAAAGAACTGTTGTTTTGGGAACGGGAGTTGACTTGATACTTCCACAATTGATTTTCATTGGTATTAAAATAATATTTAATCAGTAAAAATTATGAACGTTGGTTGTCAACTTTAAGATACTATTTAAGCTATGTCTATGGGAAAAAGAAAGTTGTTTTATGATTTTTTAAATTTAAAGGTATTTTTAAGTTAAAATTTCTTTAATGATATTTTCATCAAACCTTGTAATAGACCCCAAATTTTACGAGATGAAAGCTAATATTCATGAATAAATCATGATTCGACTCTAAAACTAATCCATTTTATTAATTGTTCTAGTTTTTCCTTCCAATTTAAAGCTGCTAAAACGAAAAGGATTGTATATAAGCAACGTTGTTTATAGGGAAAAAAAAAAAAAAAACAATCACACAGAGCAAACAACGGATATGAAATATGTGATGATGTACTTTTTGTTTTGTTATATTTACAGGAGTTTTTTGACGCCATGGTTGAGGCGCGTTGTCATTCGGATCATTGGCTAGAAGCAGCTAAGCTCGGTAATTTTCCCGCTGCTTCCCAAAACGAATGGTTGCGCGAGTTGAGAGCTTTGAAGCTGGACAAGTGTATTTTACCATATGTGATTCCATTTGTTATTCTTCATCTTCTAAACAACTTAGAAGAATTGGAAGTGCAGGATAGTGACAAAGTAGAGGTAATTTTTGATTTACAAGACACTCAGATTGAGGAAACGCCATCCCGATTGGTGAAATTGACTTTACTACGGCTACCGGAGCTGACACATGTTTGGGGAAAGAATGGTAAAGGAGTTCTCATCTTTCGAAATCTGCAAGAGGTTATTGTCAGTGACTGTGGAAACCTGCAAACTTTATTTCCTGCTTCTGTGGCAAAAAATCTTGAGAAGCTGGAGAAACTTGAAATTAAATCTTGTCATAAAATGCAAGCAATTGTTGAAAAGGATCTCATGTCACGCACACATATCTAATTATCTACAACTCTCCTGGCAATACATTTTTGATGGAATCATGCTTTGGAGTGCAAGAGGTGACATATTCAAAAATCCAAGAAGAGTTGGCTAGACATGAAGGTTTGGGCCAGTCAGGGCCCATCAGGCCCATTGGGCCTGGGAAGGCCCAAGTTGAACTTTTCATGGGCCATATTTTGTATAGCTAATTTCATATGTTTTGTATACATCATGTTAGTATAGGTATCATATATTTTGGTCTTGTATTTTGGACCACATAGAATAGCATATTAGGTTTTAGGCTTGTTGGGCCTAGTTTTGGGCTTCATGGGCCTTTGGGCTTTTGGTACCCAATATTGGGCTCATTTTCATTCTTGTAATTTTTCCTTTC